GTAGACCAGGCTGGCCTTGAACTCACAGAGATCTGCCTGCCTCTGCCAGGCGTGCGCCACCACGTCCTGCCTAATTTTTCTATATCTTAACAACTTTGAGAAATTGCTGGGCATGTACACTTGGCCCTAACACTACTCAAAGGGAAAGAAAGTAAAGTAGGCAGCAGGGGGCCTGTAACCCACGCAGGAGTCCCTTGGCTAAAGGTTGCAGCTCTCTTAGCTGGAAGATGTGCATTCATAGAATGTTGAGAAGACACTAAAACAGGGCTAAGGGAAATGGCTCAGGGTGTAAAGCACTTCTTGCTCAAGTGTGAGAATCCACATTTGGATTCCCAAACCCTCCTGAAGCTGGACACAGTGGTGCACATCTACAGTCCCAGTGAGGGAGCAAGACGAGCAAGATGGGACATGACTGAAAGCTCGTGGGCCGGCTAGCCTGGCACACACACAGTGAATGAGAGATCACAACTCAGACAAGGTGGAAGGCTGGACCAACAATTGACATTGTCTACATGTGTGCCATGGCATGTGTGTGTCTTCCCTCACACACATGAGAGAAACACACAGAGATTAAAGCAAATAACAACACTCCCCCTCACAAAAATCCCAACTTGCCACTTTGGGGCTTCCGGGTGTTCGTATGCCACAGCACATGTGTGGTCAGAGGACAACTTTGTGGGGTTGGTTTTCTCCTTCCACCTTTATGTGGATTCTGGGAATTGAACTCAGGCAGGCTTGCGTCATCAGGTGGAAGCATCTTTACCTGCTGAGCCTTCTGTGTGCTTTTTAATCTCACTGAAGTCTCTGTCTACTTCTCTTCCCTTCCACGTTTACAAATTATTGCCATTTTTATTTGTCCTCTCTTACCCCGCCCCAGCTTATCCGTTATCAAAATAAAATAGTACTGACATAAGAGAGGAGGGTCAATAGCGATGCACACATGCCCCAAAAGACACCTGCTACTGACACTAACCCAACAAGAAGCAGAAAATCTGAACAGCCCCAAAACAGAGAGCAAACATTTGCCTATGAAGGAAAACTCGAGACCAGAGACTTCGCTGGTGAATTCTCCCACATCTTCAGAGAAGGCTTAATGCCCATTCTTCACAACTTCTCCAACAAAACAGACTAGAAGAAATGCTTCTTAATCCAGAAGGCCCAAATCACTCCGATTCCAACACCAAAGAGGTTTACAGGAAGAAGACATTACAGAATACTGCATGACTATAGACATAAAATACCTCAGTAAAATAAGAGCAAGTAAATCAGCAACATATAAAAACAACCGCGTGGCATGGGGCGGGAGAGACGGCTCAGCGGTTAAGAACACTTGCTGCTCTTCCAGAGGACCCAGGTTCGATTCTCAGCACCCACGTGGTGGCTAAGGATTATCTATAACTCCAGATCTAGGAGATCCCATACCCTCTTCTGGCCTCTGTGGGCATTGCATGTATACACACATGCAGCCAATACACTCATACACATAAACTAAAAATAATAAGCGGTTAAGAGCACTGACTGTTCTTGCAGAGGGCCCAGGTTCCGATTCCCAGCACCCACGTGGTGACTACAAACTGTCCTTAACTCCAGTTCCAGGGGAATCCGAAGCCCTCTTCTGACCTCTGTGGCATTGCATGACATGGGTGTACTCACATACATGCAGGCAATACACTAATACACATAAAATAAAAATAATAAATAAAAAGAGAAAATAGAACTGAGATTCTGAAATAAGTCATTTGCCATAATTTTCTTTCCTTATTTTCAAAGTAATTTAAATTAGCAATGAT